TTCAGACATGAATATGGATGAGGATGGGCGGGGCTCCTCCTTGGGCATGCCCTCACCCAACACCCACGCGGGAACACGGGTGGGCTCTACCAGGAACTGGGTTTACTTGCTAAGGGGGGAAAAAGAAGAGCGGGCAAGAGCATCTTCACGCTTCTCAGCACCGCTGCTCGGCGGCTGCCATGCTCTGACCGAGACAAAGAGAAGGATGGATGGAAAGGCAGCGGTGCTTGGCCGAAGGCTCAGCGACTGTAAAAGAGCATTAGCAAGTTCCGCTGGTTGTGGGGCTTGCAAAGCAAATAGAATTTGATTATTTTCCTCCTCCTAGGCCCAGAAAACAAGTAGGCGTGATTTAGATGGACCCATGCCTCATTTCACATCAGCTATAAGGAACACCACCCGTCCCACGATGTAAGGCGGGGAGGAGCACATTAGAGCAAAGCCAGGTGTATAGGTTAAGCACCTAAGGCTAGGGCATCTCCAAAACAGATCTGGAAATCCAGGGCACTGGTCCTGCAAGGAGGAGGGCAGGAAAGGCACACTCTCCAGCAGACACCTTAGTTCTGTACAAATCCACTGCTTTGGGCTGATCGTGCAGCAGATCCCCTCCACGACAGCAGAGGACTTGACAGTTTGGTCTCCCTTCCACCCCCTCCCTTGTCAGGGTCTAATTTTTTTTTTTGTGAGAAGAATAAACTTTCCTCTATTTTCTTGAGAGAAAAAAGTATTTTGGATAAAATAGATTATACATATCAAGCCATATTCCATGCTTCTCTGATCTAGAAGATAAAAATGAAGAGGTAAGTCAGGCACTTTCTCCAGGGGATGATGGCACACGATGGTGACCTCAAGCCAGGTTAAGAACTCTCCTCCTCTGCTGCAATCCACCTCTATTCGAGTAGGGCAGATTGGCCGAGACAAGGACAACTGAGAACAAAGCAAAACCAAACCCACGAAATAAAACCCACACAGGAAACACTGCTTCAAAATTTCTATATTATTTACTTTTAAGCAACAGTCCAGCTTTGTGAAATTACAACACACACTTTAAAGGATGAGATTTTCACCTCATGGTCAAGCACCAGCATGATCATGCACAGCATTGAGTCAGTTGTAAAAAAATGCCCTGTAATTTTTATTTATTTATATGATCCACTCCACCTTTACTGAATAAAGTCTGAATAAATCCCCTCCTAGCATTAGGCCAGGTGGCTCTGGTCATCAGCTCTCTTATTTGGCACATACCCTGCTTCATAGTACTCTAGTACCAAGATTTTTTTTTTTTTTTTTTAAAGGCAGCATGGTGTACACTAACCACTTCATGATTTATATGGCACAGCAGGGCTCAAGGCATTTACCACATGCAGTCAACAAAGCCTTTTAGATGCCCAAATCCCGCATGTGGGGAAGGGACTACTCTTGCTGATTGTTTGCTGGCCTGTTTAACCAGGATTCTAGACCCTCGTAAAGCTAAGGGGTTCTAAAAAAAAAATCTCAGTACAAAAACCCTCTAAGCACACTTAGAACCAATCTACTCTCCTTTGAATTACATTACTATACTTCATAAAGCTTTCCCTCAAGTCTATCACTAGAAAACACTCATGTCACTTCCAGTAGATCTGGGGGAAACACAGGACAGAAGTGGGGAAAAAAAAAAACCAACTTTGATCTCAAAAAAAGATGGAGTACATAAAGTGCTTCTTTTTAATGAAAGAAATTCGAGATGTACAGTCAGGCTCAAGTTGTGCAGTTCACAAGCACGGGGGAAAGAAACAGACACGAGTTCAAAACAGTCAGGAAGGGAAAGGTTTAACCGAGGACTAGGCTGGACTTGCCACCGGGTGGATTTCTCCTGGACGGTGCGGGTGCTGGTGCTACTGGGCTAGGAACAGGTGCAGCAGGCAGGGATTTTTCTTCATTCTGACCTGGGGCAGCTTCTACATCAGCCTCAGTGTTGTCTAGAAGAAAAGAAGCTTTTAAAGTGTTTGATGTGGATGATGAAAGTCAGATGTTTCACTGGCTTAGACAGAAGATCAACTCCAAGGCTTACAGGCACACTCAGAGTGCTGCTGTAACCTGCCGGCAGGACAAACTTCAGCCCTCTGAAGTGTTTTTCAGATGAACTCTGATGCCTTACAGTCCAGTTTCAGGCACTCAAGAGCCAGAATCACTCAGCTGCTACTGGGGAACCTCAGCAACTTTTTATTTTTTATTTTTTTTTAATGACAAGCAGCTTAAGTCTTAAGTCTTTTACATATTATTTAGTCATGGTATGACTATGACAATTGTAACTCAAGTCTGAGCAGGTGCTGGAAACCAAGTCACAGAAGCACCAGTAGGCAAGAGCTTGAACGACATTCCCAATTTTGTAGCTAGAGGGAAGAGTATCTGACACACACTTCTGAGGCTTCACACAGAACAGACTAGGGAATAGCCATGCATGGGTAGGCTCCGATTGTACACTCCCTGGAAACCACATGATAGTTTAACCTATTTTAAATATTTCTGAACAGCCACAAGTGAAGACAGGACACAGAAGGAATTCTTCACATGAAGCACTTTAGATACTGTAGCAAATAACTAATGTATCTGCTTCATTGACAATTAATGAGCACAGCAAGTACATTAGCATCTCACATTTTTATAGATCAACAACAATCAGTTATGAGCCAAAGGCCCAAATGAGCACTGAGTAGCCCCCTGACACTTGGGGTGGTGAGGGGAGTGGAGCTTCACCTCCAGCTCTGTGAAGATGTACTTCATCTGGTTTTAGCACACTCCTTAGTTTCACCTAATGATCTCTAGTTCTTGGCTTGGAGGATTCCGGGAACAGCTGCACATTCACTTTAACAGCCACCTTCGTGATTTAGTAAATCTTGATCGTATTCCCTCTCCCCCAGCCTCCTTTTCAAACTGAAAAGACATAGCCATTTTAGTCTCTCCTCGTTAGACAGCTACTGCACCTTCTTACCTTTCCCATTGCACCTTCTTCTGCCCCTTGTTTACCAGCACTACAACCTTCTGGTCTTTACATTTCAAGGACTGTATAGACAATTCAAGATGTGGGAGTTAACTGCTGCACAGAGCTGAACACAAGATTGGCACGGTTTGGGTGTTGAGTGTTTTTTTAATCTGCCACCCCCCCCCGCATTACTTTATACTTACTTATATTATTACTTATAAAGATTATCCTGCTACCTTTTTACCTGCCTATCTTGCTTATTTAGTTGAGTCCTCCTGACAGTGAGATCTTTCACCATCAGCACAATTTGATTATTTGAAAGGGCTACTATCACCAACAAAATCGGAGACTTCACTGTTCATTACCTTTTCCAGGTCACAGATAAAGGCACTGAATAAAACTAGCACCAGCATCACTTCCCATGGCTCATTTTTCTAACCTCAAAAGCAATCACTAAGCCCTACCCTTTGCCTCCTATACTTTAGCTACCCTCCTATCCACAGGAGCAGCTTTCCTCCGATCCTTTGGCAACTCTTTTTTTTTTTTTTAAAGTAATCTTTGATGCAGAATTTTATCAGAAACACTGAAAACCCACTTGTGTCCACTGAACCCCCTGTATCCATGCTTATACTAATCTCAAAGAACTGCAGCAGCTTCGTACAGTCTCCACGCAATCAGAAATAATCTACAATACAGATTCTCTGCTGTATTCATTAACCCACAGGCACATCTGAAGAAAACAGTTAAGACAAAGTTTTAAGCTTGAAGCTTCTGTAACTCATGCATACCACTGCCTGCTTACTCAGCAAGCCGAGAACAACTGCGGCCGTGCCCACTGTTCATACGGCGCTGAATGCTCCATTGTCCGTGCCTGCAGCACAGGCTGTGCACTGTGCAGTGCTCAGGATGATCATCTGTCCACCAAATGCCAGACTCCACCTTCCTGTGTATCATGTAAAGTCGGTCATCGGTGACAGTCAATCAAGTGCTGTCTAGTTCTCCTTAGCTAGTCCCATTCATTGAGTACACAGGGCTAACTGAATCACAAAAGAAACAAGAATTACTATCACAGGAGGCTTTGAGGGAAGTTTGTCTAGCGTTTAGAAGCTCTTGTAGCCAGTCGATACACACATTAGTACCTCCCACATAATCAAGGTATAGATAAGTTTGTCAATCTAATAACTGAAGTGGTAAATGCAACCAGATCAGATCAAATGTTAAAGTTCTTCCCTTATCAAAAAGGGTGTAATCTCTGAAATATCTTTCTACTGAGTATACTGCAAACCATTGGAAACTCTGATGCACAGAAAGGAAAGGAACTACAGCTTCCAAACAGGAAGCAAGAACACTGCTGCTAAAGGAACAAGTCTTCTTCCCCTAGACAGGCGTGATTAATAAATGCACATACCCATTTATAATCAGTGACATACAGAAAATGATTTCCAAATGCAGAAGAATAAATACTTTTTAATGATGGAAACCTATTAAGAATCTAGTTATGCTATGAACTTGTAAGCAGACAGTTTTTACTTGGAGCTATACTCATTCAGCCCCTTTAAAAGCCCAGAGACAGCTCTGCAACATCAAATACGAAATCACGTGCAACAGGTGGGATGTTCACCAGCTCATGTCTGCCTTTGGAATATCAAGTGGACTGACACAGCTAGCTCAACAAGACTCTGTGCTCCATTAAGCTACGATAACTAAAGCTATCAATGGTAGAAATTAATTTAACGATCCATCAAGTTTCTCAGGTATCTGCCATAGACATCATTTCCAGGAAGCATTAACTTCCTACTCCTTCCAAACTACCATCAGTGGAAGTTTAACATTCAAATATTTGCCTGTCATTTTTATTTCATCTTGACCATCTTCAAAAACAAATTTTAGTCATGGCCACAACAATAAACAACCCCAGTTAATTTCCAGTAACATTTTTTTTTTTTTTTTAAAACCACCTCTCAGCATACATTTACTTGGTACCTGATAAGAACTTCCTTCACTGTCACCTACTAGAAACAAACCAAAAGCCGACAAATGACACCTGTGAAAATGTGAACTTTTTCTAAGAGTCAGGAATATCACTTTGTACTCAAAGTTTCAGTCAGCTGTCACTGCAGGCAGCCCTATTCCTGCTTCCTCCCATCCCATCTCTTCTTGCCTCAGCACTGCTTGTGAGCTCTCATCTGACCCCATGGTGAGCTGGTTTAAACAAATACCAGGAGAAGCAACAGAGCCCTTTGATCAGATTACTTCTATTATCAAACCACATCCTCCTACTCGAGACATAAACTCTAGATGCCTACAGTGCTAATTAAGATCAGACAGGCATGGGAAAGAAATACTAAAGAAGCCTGTATAGTTTGATTAGAAGCAGCCTGCTAAAGAAACAAGACTTATTTTGGGCACAGATACCACTCAGAGGTCGTTAAAACGTTCTGGAAAAACTCTCGCCCTCCCAGCTGAAGTCTTCTCAGGACACGGAACTGCTAATGGCTATAGCGATCTCCCACAACTCTTAGGGTGTTGAAAGTAGCACCTAGAAAGCATGCACTCAATATACACATTCCTCTCATCAGGAAGTAAGCTATTCTTAAGGTGAATCTTACAAAGGAGAGATTTCCAGCCTCAGAGCTAGAAAGAACACTTCACAATTAACATGCATGCTGCTAGGGGAAATGCCTCTGTTTACATGAAATTTGCAGTATGCAAACTTCCTTGGCAAAAATCAGCATTTAAAAAGCACCAGGAACTTAAAAGCTAGTTAATGCAGACACTTGCAGATGCAGTGCCTGGTTTCGATTATTTCTGTGAATGTAGGGTTTGCTGTATGAGAAGACAATAGCAAAGAACAAAATTGCTAAACTAAAATCAATTAAGTTGGCTGTACTATTTAATTATAAGCTTTTATAACAGCAGTATAGTCTTTCAATCACTAAACTCTTTGCAAGATGGTATCCACCTTGCCTTCTAGTACTTAAAGCAAATCTTGACACCAACTGCTGCTGGAAAAATAAATGACCAGGACTGTTCTCATTTTTAACTTGATGACTAACAGGCACTCCGCCGTTTCATTCCATATCCACGCTTCTGCTGAAGTAGTCAGGTCACTTTATTGATTCGATGGATTCAAGGGACAACCCCAAGCTGTCTCTCTGCTAATACATGACCATTTATATATCCCATAACCTCTTCAATTTCAAAAGTGCCTAACTGCAAAAGGCTTATACTAGAAGAGTCCGAAGGAGTTACTCACCAGAGGTTTCACCACCACCGTCTCCTCCCTAGAAGAGAGAGGAAACACATTATATCTCACACTTCACAACGTATTTTCCCCTTCCATCAAGAGGGTACTCAATACTCTACGTTATAACCATGGCAGCTGGGCACACTGCTCTATCTAGCAGCACTTCCCAAGTGGCAGACCCAATGAAGCACTTTTAGATCAGCAACAGGCTCTTAGGGGCAGATATCAGAGTGGCATGGTGGGTTCTGCGTACATATTTCTGCAGATTGATGTTATGGGTTTGTAAGCACCAATTCTTACAGAGTGACTAGTATAATTTCATCAGCTGTTTGCTTACCTAAGATACTTATAAAAGTTTAAAACAGATACTGCTGAAGTAATCCTGATGACCTGTAACATGTGGCATACTTGTTATTCCCACACTGTGGAGGACGTGGGTGGGCAAGAACACTTTATTATATACAGCATCCTACATTAGGCAGCACTGACAGTAACCAGAACATTGTAACTGCCGAGCAGCAATGAGAAGTAAGTTATACTGTAAGCAATTAGCAATAGCTCAGTGTCCCCTCCGTTCCACTAAGCAACTCTTTCCAACACCAAACATTTATCTGTTAGCAAGGCCAAAAGCATTTGTTCTAGCCAGGATATTTAACTCCATTTAGAAAATACAGAGCAGTTTTTGCAATGTTACTGATAAAGTTTCCTTTGCTAGATAACCAGCTAAATATTCTGTTCAAACTGATCTCTTCACAGGCTGCAACTTGACACAGATACAGAAAGTCTTCCAGCAGCAGCCAAGGCTCCTCAATGGAATGAGGTTTTATCAGCTTTCACAGATTTAACGTTGTTAATTACATAGTGAAACTGCAGTCATCAGGATATAAATCCACAGAAAGTCACACAAATATATAACCTTAAATCTCAGGCTGGGCTACAGCACACTAGCTCCAGCTTCTGTTGTTTGTAGCGGTAACTATTGCATAAAATTAAAGTATTCCGCATTGGAAGAATCTGTTTGCAAAGCTGAGAACCACAGTATTTAATATAATTAAGTAGAAAACGGAATTAGAATAAACAGTTTATTTTTGTTTTCTGTGGTAGCAGCTATAAATTTAATCTCTCATATTTGCTAAATTGGAACAAGACATTTTCTGCAACAAAGAACAGTTTTGTCCCTCAAAGCGCCCATTAATAACAAAAACAGGTTGTGATGATTGATACCAATTATCAAAACAAAACTTGCTGTTTATAACCCATAAGGCAAAAGGCATCTGCCACAACATCTGAGACCAACAATTTACCTACCCACTTCTTTTCAGAAAACCTAAAGCTGGAGAGCTTTAAAGAACAAGGTTTCTTCTTTTTCTCTGGAATGTGTTTATGCAAGTGCAGTCTACCCTAGGTTCCTGTTAGCTTCTAAGGTCAGAGGAATTACTACTCTTCATGCTGTTTTTCCCATTAAATGTAATCATACACCTAACAAAACCCACGTTAACACTACAAATCATGCTCCACATTGCTACCAAGTGGACAGTTTATACGGAAAATAACACAACTGCTAGTATTATTAGAGACAGTAACAGAAATAAAACAAGTATTCATGCTATCGAGGTAAGTACTTGTTGGGATGTGAAACCAAGTCCTTTGTCAGATCCACACAGAGTTTGTAAGTAACTATTGTTTGTAAAATCTGTTAAAACACACAATTACACACATGGCTGAAGCTAGATTTCACACCACTTCATTACTGTCTCATAAATAAGAAAGTTAAGAGCTCTAGAAAGTGATCCTTTTTGAAAAAAACAGCCCTTCATCAACATCCTGTAAGACTATCACGTGGAAAAGAGAACCTTCAGGAAAAGAACAGATTTGAGAATAAGGCTTTAAATCCTACAATGCTTCCAACTGTGTGAACATCGGTGATGAAGCAATCACACACAGAGTGTGAATTGTCCCATTATCAGGCTCTTAACATTAACATAGTTAATGTACTGACCTTGGGATCTACAAAGTCTCCACAGTTTGCATCAGTTGAGTTTCTTCTTTGTGGTCCAGAAGATTCACAGTCGTCTCTGATTTCACCTGGCTTAGTCCCTACAAGCACAGATTGATCCTAATCAGGTTGCAAGATAAACTTACTGGGAAAGTAGATCATAAATAGTCAGGGATTTGGGGGGGCTCTGGATGTTTTGAGGGTTTTTGTTTTGTTTTTTAATTAAAGCTTTACCGTTCCAAGAAGTCCTGGTCCTTTAGATAACAACTCACAAATTACTGTCTTACAACAGGATCTCATGCAGTTGAGGGTGTCATTTAAACAGATGGAAACAAGAGTCCCAAAGCCAGCCACACGGGCAGCACTCGGCAGAAATGGAAGCTTAATCCCAGCTAAACTTCCTCTGAATAATCAAGACCAATCAGTGCTACTCCAAATACTAAGAGACAAGTTCACCTTACTGTGACTTGATTCATTCGGAGAAACTGCATTCAAAATACAATTCTCTGCTTGCAACATCTATGCCCAAGATTTGCATTAAAAAACCCTCTGGAAGTAATTCGAAATGAGAAATAAAAAATGAAAAATAAAAGAAGACATCATGTATAGCCCTAAACTACCAAGCAGGAAGTGAACTCTGGTTTCCACACTGAGCCACCGGCAGCTTCAGGCCGATACAGAATACATGAATGAATCCATGCCAGCAGATCCTGAAACAAAGCACTACATTCTTACCCGATGATTTAGCCCAGGAAGGTGGGTTTTCTTCAGGAGTTCCAAAGATGCTGGATGCCATTTTGTTCCTTCGCACGGGTGGTTCTTTTGGTTCGTCAAAACCCAAGGAAAAGTTGGACCCACCACCAGGAGGACGCAGCACTCTGGAGAGAGAGTCAGCTTTACAACCTTGCGTGCACCATTACTAAGCTGCACTCCAACATATAAAACAAGACTAATAAGCCAAGAGATCATCGCTGGCTCTTGTCAGGAGCAGTCATACAGGCTAAATTCTGTCCAAACAGAAACTACGTGAGATGGTTATATTATGCACTGGCTTTTAACAAATGACACAGGCTGTTACGTCCTCAGCGCATAACTTGTTTTATCAAGGTAAGCTGCCTGCAGCATTCAATCCAGGCACTGTATCTCCACTGCTCTTCTCTCCAGTGACACTTATAAAAATAAAATACTTGTGCCTCACGCCTCGCCACCCCCCTCAGAGCCGCTCCGGCCAGCCCTCTCCTTGCTTCATTTGGTGTCAACAAGAGCTCCTGCTACCAGCCTTCAGTCTGAGCCAATTAAAAAATAAAAAAGTATGAGTGCATGTCAACTTCCAGCTTTTTAAGAGAATCCTGTGAAGGCTAACATTAATCTTCAAACTGGCAGCACAGCAAAGACTGAAGTTTGGCATATGCACTACAGTACTGGTTGCATCACTGATGACTGGGGGTTGCAGCCTTTATCTAGGTTTGTTTCATCGGAAAAACCCTCAAGTCTGCAGTATGCTACTAGACTAGACTTAAAAGGTGCAATTAAACAGTTTTAAGTTAGCCTATTATTAGGAGAGACACGTGTACGAAGCTCCAGACATAACACCTAAATCTAACAATCTTCTATTAGACAGACACAAAAGAAGCCTGCTCTGTACTTCACGAGCTATATTGTGGTCTGCTTTCCAATCAAGCAAAATAAATCTTTAAGTGTAAATTCCTTCAGATCTCATTTTCTTAAGCATGAGATCTTTTCAAAGCTGACGCGTTAGCTGAAGCAGCCAGACAAAAGCCAGGAGAATAAAAATGTCTAAGGCCACATGAGAACTGTCACAACCCCCAGAGAGATGCAAGCACACCAACACAACCGGGCTTTCGAGACATCCAGTGTTCTGAAATGAAGACCAGAATAAGCTAGGGATGGTGCACACTTCCTCTTCTCTACAAATGATTTAATAAATTAAAGTAAGAACTTCGCAACGGAAAACAGTACACACCTTGTTAATGCACCAAACCTAAGAATTCAACACAAAGAACATGTCTGATTTTACAGTGTCATCACCACCAGTAAAAGCATCCAGATCTTTTCAGACTTTCTGCCTATCGCATTCTAGATGCGACAGAAAAACACTTCTCCAGCCTACAGAGCTCTAACACCACAACCACCAAGAAAAATTCACAAAGGTGTGTGGCATAGATATTTAGTGTTACTTCAGTAGCAAACTACTTTTCCTTACAAAGTTCTTCTCCAAAGTTCTCATTACAAATGCTCAGCTGCTAATGGGAGGATCCCAGGAGATTGTATAGTATGTTTTAAGAATCCATTTTAATCACTTGCTTTGTCTCCTTTCTGACTTAAGAGATATGGTATAATGGCCTTGAATCACTCCCTTATCTTTTTTCCCCCAGAGGAAATGTCTCCATGCAGAAGGTTTATTTTCTTAGTTACATCTGTTGCACTTACTAATTTGAAGAACAGTCTGTTCAAAGGAGGGCTTGTTCCCACATCTTAGATCACCTTTATTTTACCAGAGCAGTGAAACCAGTACTCTCTTAACGGCACAACAGTTTCCACTGACAGTCTTAATGAAATTAACAGAAGAGGCAACTGAAGGAAAAAAGCCATCATTCAAACTGTTAAAAAGAAATAAGCCCTCTTGCCAACCTCAGCTAAACGTTGACAGATTTTATTAGAAGCCTCTCACAGCCTCGAGATGTTGTAACATGCTTCACCGATACCCAGTGATGTATACTGAAATTTCATCCACACCTCCATCCATGCAGCACTCCTGTAAATGGTGTGGGGTTTTCTTTTTTTTCCCTTTGTTTTAAAATGCACCCCAAAAACCTAAAAGCAAACGGGAAGCATCTGCTTTGTCAGGCTAAAACCTTACAGAAAAAAGACATGATAGCTTGAAAAAACCGACACCATCCTCTCCAAGCCAGGTGTTACTCCTGCAGAAACGTGGGTGCCCGACAAAGTGCTGTGCATCTCTTCCAGACGTACCTGCCAAGTTTTCTTTGTTTCGAGACAGGCTACGGCATCCTCCT